ATGCAAATTAGATCACTGGTTCAACCGATTCTAAACAGTTGGTGGAGGAGCGATGTCTTGGAAATCATCCAAACAAATGTGCATTGACCACTCTACAGTGGAGGCTGAGTTTATAGCCTTAGACAAGGTCGGTGAAGAAGCTGAATGGCTCCAAAATTTCTTGGAAGATATTCCATTTTGGCCCAAAACTTTGGCACCTATGTGTATACATTGTGATAGTCAAGTGGCAATAGGCAGTGTAGGGAACGTTATGTATAATGAAAAATCTCGTCACATTCGACGAAGACACAATATCGTTAGACAACTACTCTCTAGTGGTGTTATCACGATTGAATACGTAAAGTAAAGAAAAAACGTGTCGGATCTACTTAAAAATGTCCTATTTAGAGAGGCAATTGAAATATATTGAAGGGAATGAGGCTAAGGTCTAGGATAAGTCATCATGGTGGTAACTCTATCTAGCAGGCTGGAGATCCCAAGAGCTAGGTTCAAAGAGATCAAGCAAAGTTATGAATGACTATTCAACATTGTCAAATAACTCAACCCATTCTCGTGATGAAGACAATGTTCAGAAATTAAGGTAAATCATTAAGGCTTTTTGATGAGTCAATAAAGCTTAAAACGTTTTAATGATTTGCTTAGTCTGGCAAGATATGACCAAATAGTGTGTCTATAAGATTACACGTTTAGAATTCACCTATGTGAGTGTGAAGTGTAAGCGGCTTTAAGGGGAATGAAAGTAAAGGCTCATTCTCTAAGCACTCATGAAACTAGGTGGTATTCATGGCTAAAACGAATACAACCGTGAGAACCAAAGACGGTTAAGGATTGATTGTGTGACGTATGGTTGTCTAGATATACACCAAAGCTCGACGGTTCAAAGATATCAAATATACCGATTGACCGAGTATATCTGACATAAGTTCACTAAGGAAAGTTCAAAGGGAAACCTACTTATCCAGATGCGATTAATCCTTACTTGCGAATCACACAGTATTTGCATGCATGTTTTTTCACATATGTTCATTCCCCATTCATGTAGGGGATCATTGCGTTTTTTCTTTAAAGGGTGTGAATGGAAAATGGAAGAGACACCTCTTGGGTTGCACCTCTCCATCTCACACTTTCTTTGTCTATAAATTTAGAAGCTTGGCCTCATTTTTAAGACATAGAAAATCAGAAATCTTCTCCCCTCTTTTCTACATTGTTGCATTATTTTCTAAATAAACATAAGTGTCAAATGTGATTTGATCCGTTTGTTGAGTTCGCTGAAGTTTTGTATAATGAAGTGCCGCTATTATAGAATAGTTACTCCGTTCTATCCTGGGAGGAATTAATCCGTATACCTTAAGCAACAGTGAGGGGATTAAATTCTTTAAGGACATACTGCGAATTCAGTGCTCTTGAAATTATTTTACAATTTATTTATTGAACTAACATTTGTTTGCTTATCTGATTTTTTTTATTTATTTTGAACATTGTAATACCAAAAAATTTTGCTTTCTTCGCCCTCATCCGCGTGTACATATAGTCTTGTCCATCATCTTAATATTCTGCCGTCTTTCAGTCTGGCATATGACCTAGTCCCTAGACAATATTTTTGCTGCCAAGGAATTTAGCCAGTGAATCATCATCACGATATTCTACTCAATATAATGAGTGATCACGCTCAACTATGCTTTATAAAAAGGACTAATTAAGTGGTCATTGCAAATATAATTCGGTTTACAAGTTCGAAGTCGAATCCCACAGAAAATTAAGGTTTAGCTACACTTGTTTAATATCACTAAGAAACACAAGTGCAAATAATTTCCTAATTATAAAGATTATAATGTTTATTTTTATCTAATTAATTAACTAACAAATACTAGAAAGCAATAAAGTTATCAATTGACAAGGATAAAGAATGGAGACAAGATTACGGAGGTCTAGAGTTATGGTTTTCCCTATTGTCGAAATCTTTTCCGCTACATTTTTACAAATTTGCATAAGTTCTCTCAACCGATCATGAGTGATCTGACTGTTGTAATTCTCTTCCGAGTAACTACCACAATTTACTAGACATATTCTTCCGAATTACACTAGCTGACATTAAGTACGGCTCACTCGAATCGCATCAAGGTTTCGTTATCCCTAATCCCACCTTTAAACCATCCGTATTGATCCCTCATATACGTTCGGAGTGATGTTTTTCAACAACTACCTAAATATATACTCTTTCCCGAGTAATGTATACTAAATAGGTACAATCAATTGAGAGCTCTTCAACCAACCACAATAATAACGTAGTTGAACAAATAAAGAATATACTACGGCAAATGTTTATTAACGTAACGAAAAAATCCTCCTCCAATAGGTTTCATCAAAACCCTAGATAACAAATTAGCTATTCATAATAGTATGCATAACTACAATACTAGAATTTATAACCAATAATAGAAATATGAAGAAGGAAGTGAAAAACTCGTAGAAGAATTCTCCACCTTTCTCCTAGTGTGTTCTTTCCTCTTTAGGTCGAATCCCTGGTCTAATGTCGGTCTCTCTCTCCAATCCCTCAAAAGTGACATTTTTAAGTCTATTTATATGTGTAGGAAAAGACCTAAATGTGTAGGCCAATTCCTAGTCAAACCAGGAGACGAAATAAGTCTGCAAAACTCGGAATGTGCACGTCCAGACCTGGCCTCGCGTGGCATAATGCCTGGTGGACCTGGCCCCAGGCCTGGCGTCGCCAGTTCTAACGCATGCTTAAGGCCTTGCATCGCCAAGTATAAAGCCTGCTTAAGGTCTGGCGTCGCCAGCTTTCTCCTTTTCATTATTCTCGAACACGCTTTCAAAGTTTAAGTATCCCTTTTGCTCTACTTTCATCTTCAATTCACCTACACATAAAATAGACTCCCGCCATTAGTCATTACGTGCAAATAAAGTGTAATTTATCATTAAAGCATATAAAATACAAGGTACAGTGGTTTATTAATAAATATGTATACTTATCTTTAGGATAAAACATGATTTATGTCGTCGTGACTGTTAGTATTCGTTTTTTTGTAGCACGAGATTAATTAATGCTGAAATCTGTTATAATTACAGTGAATCCAAAAGCTTATTCACTATCCTACGAGGACCACATAAGCAATATACATATCTTATAATCAATATATCAAATTGAGTACCTTTAATCGACACAGATAGATATATGTTCCTAACAAAGATATATCTCAATCAAAACCTGGACAAATATTTATTACAGCTTGCAATTAAACGAAATTGAGCGTTGAATTCACACACTCGATTTTGGGGGTGTGAAGCTTAAATGAAGCCAAGAAATTAATCATGGTATCATCAAATGTGTCACGCTATTATAATGTGAATTTAACAAAAATAATTAACTATTTAATATAATCAAGCCGTTGTGAAATGCTTAAATCGCTAAATGATTCAGGGTGAGTTGCCATTTTGTTCTGTCCTTTCTTCATTGACAAATAACCCATCGGTTAAAACTAGCCATGGTCCTGTACTATAAAGTTAGATCTTAGAACCCTAAATGGTTGTGGGTATGACTGTACAAAATTAGATTTGGTATGATTTTATTGGTATGATTTGGTATAATGTGATTTGGTATGATTTGGTATAATGTGACTGTACAAACCGAATCGAAAAACCACACCAAACCAATTAAAAAATTTAATTAGATTTGGTATGATTTTATTTGGTATTGAGTAAAAACATGAATCAATCCAACATTAAATATATAATTTTTGTATATACTTTTAAGGCTTTTTATAAAAAAAATCTTTAAAAAATATCTAGAAATACTTGGGATTCTCTTATGGGATGTAATATTTAATAGAATCTTCATTTTTATTAACTTTAAATAATGAGTTGTATGGTCACTTTCTTATCAAGTCTTACTGAAATGCATCAATCTCTTTGTTCTTCCATATTCATATGTCAAGATCTATTAAACTCTTAGGGGTCGTTTGGTAGGATGCATTAGCTTTGTGTATTAGTAATACTTTGTTTGGTACACTCTTTGAACATATGCATTAGTTATGCAAGTATTAGTTATACGCTCTATTTGGTATTATCCTATGCATAACTAATGCATAAGAAACCATGGCATTAACAATGCAATGGATTTTAATGCATGCATTAACTTAGTTAAAGACAAATTTGTCCTTCAAAATTTATGCTTGATTAAAATATGTTATTATATTAAAGCAAGTTTGAAATAATCCAAGAAAGTGAAAAATAAAATTATGTCCCTAGTAAATAAATAAATAATTAGCATATTTTTTTTTATAAATAAATATTAAGTTCTACACTACAATATATGTAGACAAATTAAATAATTTTTTAAAACCTTTTTATATAAAAACATTCCTCAACATATGTTTTTCTAAAAGATAAAGTAATGGACTGATTATGAGGGTATTTTTGTAAACAAATAATTCTTATAGAAATTGTGCAATGCATTAACACATTAAACCAAACAATGGATAAGAAATATCTCAGCATAACTAATGCCAGCATTACTAATGCAAGCATTACTAATACCAGCATTACTCAGCATTATTCTTATACACTCTACCAAACGACCCCTTATATCTTTTTCGAATTTGAAGTGGTATTCCGATAATTTAAAAGTAAATAGAACATATCATTATTTTTAGGATATTGATTTTTATGCTTAATTATTAAATATGGTTAACCTTGAAAGTGTACATCAACGAAAAATTATTGTCAGACGACTAAAAAAATAACTATCATTGTTACTAAGAAAATTCTTCCATAAAAATATTTTAATAGATCATATGTTTATCAATTTTTATTTTATTTTTACTAAACATATATTTACTTATAGTAAATATAACAAAGTAAGATTGAAATAATATTCATGTAACAAAAAAACTCGAAAAACCGAAAAACCCGACAAAACCAAACCAATCCAAATTGATATAGTTGTTTTGATTTGGTTTTGATAAAAATCGAACCAACCCGGTCCATATTATACACCCCATGTTGTGGGGATCACCAATTAATTGAAGACTTACTTTTTTCCAACCCAAATATTGAAACTTGGGTTATTTTTCAACCCAATTTAGGAAAATATTCAAAATAATCTTTGAGATTCACATCCAACAGTAGCGCTAAAGTACCGAATGCCAGAACTGAGCCGATTAGTTGAGCTATTATGTACAGAGGTGCCTGCAACACATGCATATGATGTTAAATACATTTTGCTACTATTCTACCCCAATAAATTACCATATGATTTTATGTCATCCAAAGGTAAATCAGAATTCAAAATAGTTTAGCCTCAAAAAGAAAAATAGTACATTAGTACGTACTAATTTCCATGGGAAGCGATGGAAGATAGTGAAAGTGATTGTAACAGCAGGATTAAAATGACCTCCTGATACTTGTCCCAATGAGTAAATCATCACCATCGCAACTGCTCCCCATGTCATGCTTATCCCTGGAGACGTTATGCTCTCATCATCAAATAGCCTATTCATTTCAACTGATCCAAACCATGCAAATATAATGAAGTATGCGCCAATTGCCTCTGCAATAAACTGGAAACAAATTAAAATAACAGGGTTTAAATCATTTAAGGGGGTAGGATACAAATAGTATTCAGGGAGGGATATATGGGGCATGGATATAATATTTAAAAAACTGAATTCAGTATTTTTGAATGGTAGTCTTTTCATGGAGATTATTGGGAACGGAAATGCGCCTGGGGTTAAGAATAACGAAAAAATTGCCTTCTGTCTGTTGCCATGGAATGTATAGGTAGGGATTGTTTTGTGCTTGGAAAGCCCGTTCCGCGCTCTCTATGCCCTTTTTTGGGGGTCCCCATGAACTGTTTTTTAATATTCGTGTTCACCTTCTTTCTTCCTTCCCCTCCACATGGAAGGATCATAGGGTTCTCCCAACATACATATCTAGGGTTGCAACTGTTTAGCATGCAAGGATCGGAACGGGCGGATCCCAGAAATTCTTTTCTGATCTATTCGTTTCAGCCTTAGAGGATTGAGCTTTTTGAGAGTGCCGCACTGCGATTGAATGGAGGATGTCAATGATGAAGAGAAAAGTCTAGTTCTCTTTTCATTTGAAAGGGGAATGGATGTCTTATCGAGAGTGATTACGGAAGAGCTTTTTCATAGAGGAGAGCGATAGGTCAATTTAAAGAGCAAAACATAAATAAAGTAAAAATAACTTAAATTTCAACAAATATTAAAATTTAAACTCAATTCAAGTGTGAAATGGGTTCCGAATCCATCAAATTTAAATCTTCAATTAGCCTTGTGAAAGAACCTAACCTTTTGTGCTAGTGCAACAACCGAATTAGCTGATGAAGAAAGCCCTATGTTAGTATCAGATTGGGACCTAAAGATATTGGCTGCATGGGCACCTTCTTCCATTATATATGGTGATTTCTTCTTCTCAGTTGCAATTCATTTCGCCGACATTTGATTAACATAAAACAAGAAAATCGAAGCATAAAGGCGTAAAGGGTTCTCAATTTATTTTCTTCCTTTATTGTCTATCAGGATGAGGATATTATAAGGATATGATGAATAGTTGGAGAATTTGTTCAATCCCGCTGTATAGTAGGATCTCTAGAACTTCAAACTTCGATTCAGCCTTCCGATTTTTCTTTTAATATTTGTGTCTATCTTTTCGTTTTACTTATATACCAATACGGTCTTCTTCACATTTTCGATATATTGTGGACGAGTGGCTTTTTTTGTAATTATCTTTTGTCTATAAAGTTCATGAACTATATGTCTTCGAGGTGCCTTAACTATAAGAAAAGGCAATTGCCATTACATGGCTAGCTAATTCCGTTTAAATGACACAGAGCAGCTTCTTAGAAGTTCTATTTGTTGTCCAAGAGAACGGACTAGTTGAGGCAAGTCCAACTTGAATATTGCACCTTTGAGTTTCAATTATATGCACGGATGATTATGCTCAACTCTAATCCTAAAAAAGATATGCGGTTATTGTAAATATAACTCGGTCTAAGAGTTCGAAGTCGAATCCCACAGAGAACTAAGAATTAGCTACAACTGTTTGATATCACTAAGAAGACAAGTTGGAACAATTTCTAAGTTATAAAGAATGAGATTTTTTTATTCTAAACTAATTAACTAACAAATCTAAAAATCAGTAAATATCAAGTAACAAGGATAAGAGTTGGAGACAAGATTAAGCAGGTCTAGAGTTATGATTTTTTCTATTGTCAGAATCCTTCCCGCTATGTCTTCTATAATTTCGCTTAAGTATTCTCTACCGATCGTGAGTACTTAGAGTGTCGTAATTCTCTTTCGAGAAACTAACACAATTTACAATATGTATTCTTCCGAATTATGCTAGCTGGAACTAGTGCACCGTTCACTAAGATCGCACCAAGGCTTCATTATTCCTAATCGCACCTTTAAAGGTAAAAACAAATATCACTGGAGCTCCTGGGTCAAAATGTGTTTTCCAACAGAAGAGGGCGGTATTGGATTCAAGAGAATTCATGATATATGTGAAACCTTCTTGGCTAAGAGGTGGTGGTGACTCAGAACTGAAAACAACCTCTGGACTAGGTTCATGATCGCCAAATACTATCCCAAAAGCAACTTAGTTGCCAAGAAAGGGAATTCTAAAGACTCTAATGAATGGAGGAGCCTGATAAATATCAGAAACAAAGTGGAAACTAACATTCTATGGAGAGTGAATGAGGGGAACTTGCTATTCTGGTGGGATAATTGGACAGATGACAGTCCTATAAACTCCTCAGTTAACCTAAACTATAAACCAGGGAATACTAGAGTGAAGGAATTCATTCAAAATAATAGCTGGGATATTGACACCCTTAAAAGTGAAGTCCCACAAAATATTGTAGATATTATAGAGACAGTGAATATAGGAAATTCAGATACTAAAGATCAGGCAATCTGGAAGCCTTCATCAGATGGAAACTTCTCTTGTGCATCTGCGTTACAAATTCTGAGACAAAGGGACGATCACAATTCACTTTTCAGTAAAGTGTGATCCAAAGATATCCCCTTCAAGATCTCCTTCTTTATGTGGAGACTGTTGAAAAACAAGCTTTCACTAGATAATACTAATTTGAGATTTGGATTCCAATTAGTCTCCAGGTGTTGTTGTTGCAGACAATCCAAGGAAGAGAACTTGCAACACGTATTTGTGGAAGGAGACATAGCCAAAAGGGTATGGCACATCATTTCAAGTCCACTTGACATCAATTGTAGGGCCAGTGGTATCAACAATGTGTTATACCAATGGTGGAACCAACATTCTAAGAACCCATTGCACAAACGTATTCTTCACATAACTCTCATTAGTTGGGAGATCTGGAAGGCCATATGCACAAAGAAGTACAGCTAGAAGACTACAACCATTACCAGAATATGCCAACAAATAGTGTTTCTAATTAAAACTGCTATTGGAAAGAAATTTAGCAGAATGGAGGAAGAATGGTGTTGGAATGATATTTGCCACATTGCGGATAATTACCAACCCAGATTGCAAAGCATCATGGTCACTTGGATTAACCCAGAAGAGGATAATTGGAAACTGAACTCTGATGGCAGCTGTATGATGACAATGGGTAAAGCAGGAGCCGGAGGGATTGTTAGAAGGGGAAATGGAGATATGGTAATGGCTTATGCTAATCCTATTCAATTCTTGACTAAGAATTTTAGTGAATTGCAGGTTGCGCTCTTTGGAATCATATGGTGCTGTGAACAACAATTCAACAAGCTAACCGTGGAACTGGACTCACTACTGGTGGTTCAAATGATTCAAGGAAAAGCAAAACCACCATGGAGGCTTCACAAGGACATAAAAGTTATCAAAGAAAAGATATCACATAGAAATATTGAAGTATGTCATTGCTTTAGGGAAGAAAACACTGTAGTTGATTCACTTGCAAAACATGCAACTACCATCATGGAGTACAAGATATACATGCAAGAAAATGATCTGCCTTGCGAGACAAAAGGATATCTGAGAATGGACAAACTCCAAATGCCTTCCTTCAGGATTAGAGCAACCAAACACCCAGGATGGTTCTTTGAACCACCATAGCCTGTTACTACTAGCTGGTAGGATCACATGGAAGACACATTACACCAGCTAGCACAAGTTTAATTTTTTGAGAAATTAGGCTTTCATGCCATTATGTACTGAATGGATTTCCATTCCTTTTGGACAAGGAGGTCAGGCCTAGCCCCCTCCTTTGTAATTGTTTGTTTTAAAGAAAAAAAAACCTCCATATTGATCCCTCACATACGTTAGGAGTGATGTTGTTCAACAACTACGTAAAGGTGTACCCTTTTTCCAAGCAATACATACTAAATGGGCACATATCAACAACAATAAACACGTAGTTGAATAAGCAGAAAAATAAACGGCTCAATTATATAAAAACATAACAAGAATTTATCGTACGAAAGGTTCCATCAAAACCATAAATAACAAATTAGCTATTCATAACAGTATGCAAAACTATAATACTAGAATTCATAACAAATAATGGAAATAGAGGAAGAAAGAGGGAAAAACATGAAGTTGAATCCTTCTCCTTCTTGTTCGTAGCATGTTCTTTCCTCCCCAAAGTCTTCTTTCCTTCCAAAGTAGTGTCTCTACCTCAAAAGTACATTTTAAGATGTATTTATAGCGATTGAGGTTTTTATGGGGCGAATTTTCCTTCTTGAATTTTGGATTGGAGAAGCTGGCTTCTTATGCTCCAGTCCCAGTCTAGCGAAGTGAACCTCGCTTCGTTTTCCGGGAATTTTCTGGTTTCTTCTGCTTTGGTCCTGGTCTGACGAAGTAAAACTCACTTCGTTGTTCAGGACTTGTCTCTTCAGTTTTTTTTACCAATTTTTCTCCTATTTGATCATTTTCCGCATAAATTTGTTCCTACACATAAGAAACACGTATTGAGCATATTTTCACTTCAAAAGTGGTGTGAACTCCCACAACTCACACAAGAATTAACACACATATACACTCAAAACATGTATTTTTCATCCTTTATCACTACCCCAGCTTAAACTCGTGCGCGTCCTCGAGCAACTTAAAATTAAGTACATAGGCAAGAAATACCTTTCAAAACATACTCAAACATCACACAAATGATAATGGTTTATATCAACGCTTAGAACCCAGCATATTCACTCTTTATACATTTCCTCAAGTATTAAACTCATGCCGAGATTATTTAAAATATTCATGTGACTTTTTCGAACTTCCTTGCCTCAAAACCTGACTCTAATGAATTTCACACTCTGATTCGCTCCTTATGCCAACTCAAATATCAATGTCTCTACTAATCCTTTACAAATTATGTGCCCTCGCCAATAAATCATTGAGAAAGTAGTCCACATACTCGATACAAGTACAAATATATTTTATGGACTCTCAAATTGAAAGAATTTCCTCACTTTCACAAAACATTTCTTATGACACCCAAGTTCGTACCATAGGCTTGCCCATAATGTAAGTCTCTACTAATTTAAGCTCGCAAAGTCTAGGATCAAGTAGAACTTTATAGATTCTAACGTAGGCGAAAGGATGGGTAGGATATATTTAAGAAAGTAGTGACTAACCCTCCTAAGAACTTTAATACACTACACTTCATTTCTAACCACATTCTTGTCATGCCCACTTCAATATTTTTCCATAAAACCATACACATTTAGGCCCTTCTTCATTAAGCATATTAACAAATAAATACTTACTAGCCCAGGCAATAATGTGAGAGGTGTTATTCTTTTTTTTTTTATATTTTTTTTATAACACTCTCTTTTATTTGATATTTTTGCTAGTACCTTATTTTTTGTACACAAGTGCACCTTATTGTCGGACTTTGTATGGTTCCACTCAAAAGCTACCCAATTTCTTTCTTTACTCTTCTAGATACTTAAGTGCTTTCGGAGGTAAAAGTTCAACAAGATTTGATTAAGAACAAAGGAGATTCGGCTTGTATTGTGGTTGCCAAAGAAACGGCCTACATGCTCAAAAGGGTTGACTAAGGATAATATTAGCACTGCTAAGAAAATGCTAAATGGTTAATCAAAGAAAGCCTATATAACTTCCCAAACTTATAAGACCTAATCATTTCGCTTCGGCTCACATAAGGGGCAATTTCTGGACTAGCAAAGATGGCTAGAGTATACCAAAACCTCACCTTACAAAATGCACATGACTCACTTAGGACATCTCGGACCCGATCCTCACATTAAAGCAACTAGCACAATCATCATAAAATTGAAGCACATGAGAATTAATCACAAGAGTCAAAAGATGAGACTCAGTGTCAAAAGAAAGTCACACATATTTCAAGGCATATTATTACAAAGATCAAGAAGAAAGTACGCAGTTCAAATGCTCCGTACCTAAGCACCTATATAAAACATGTCAAAATGCATAGATACTCAAGTTCTCCCGATTCCATTATCAGTTCAAAAAGAAAAAAAATGAATTATTTTTCTTTGGACTTTAATCCCTCAAGAAAACTCTCTAGGAAGTCCATCGTCGAGAAAAGTCCAATACTTTTAAAAAATTCTACCTACAAGAAAA